AAACTCTGAACTATGTTGCACAGTAAAAAGTACAATCATTCTAGAATTCTAGGTTTACCACCTTTATTATTTTTTAACAAATGCCAAACAATTTTATTTTTTAAATATCATAGAAGATAATTCCTAATGGACACTGCCTGTCAATTATGGTATGTGTATTCTTTATAGATATCACTTTATTCTAAATAAAATTTTTGATAATTTTATTATTTGGCCTTAATTTATAACAAAATAAAATATGGCCAATTTTTGTCTCATATATTAAGGTAATTTAGGTAATTTTTTTTAACCCTTGTGTTTTATAGTAGGCTAACAGGAAGTTCTACTGCTATGTTATTTTCCAATTTGCTGACTTTGTTTCATTAGAGCCATCATCAAGAAGACACTGAGTAACGTGTTGTCAGCAAAAATTTTAGGCAAAATCACATGCACAATATCTTGTTTTTTGTTTTTCTGGGGGAAAAAAATGTTTCTGTCCAAAATGCTTTAACTCAGTTCTTTGGATGTACCTTAAATCTTGCCTTGTCTTCCTTAGTAACTTAAGGTTTTTATAATTTTATTTTTTATGGTCTTTCTAAAAACTAAATGTTGGCTATAGTATGAAGTCACAATAAATCTTGACTCCCCAGTGATCAAAACAGGTTGGCAGGAGAATTTTATTTCACATTCCCGAGAAAGGTTTGGACTCACCTGCACTGTTCGCTGGAGCTCTGCCTCAGGAGAGGGGAGTGAACACTGTGAGCCCTCCCATCCTGTAAATTCAGCTTTCTCCTCGTGCTTGAAGGTGGGTGGCTGAACGTGTGTGCCCGTCTTCGAAACTGTGGGGAGTCGGAATCCTCTTCAGGGAACGTCTGCCAAGCTGAGGACAGTGGGGAGGCTGGTGGTGTCCCTGGTGGAGAGTCTCCTGGTGAGTAGTCCTGAAAAGCAAGCAAAAGTGAGGTCTTCCTTTCCTATGAGGATCATAGCAGACCTGCTTAAACACAGAGCTCACAAGTGACAGGGTGCCTCTTCTTCCTCCTGAGTCATGACAAAACTGTTTTTTTTTTTTTTAACTCAATCCATGCTGAAGGTTAATCAGTGTCAACACAACCCATTTCTTCTGATAAGCAGCTGTAAGACAGCATCCATAAAGATAGGCTGGAAAGTGAAAAGGATGATGAGAAAAGGTATTCTTTTCCTTAGCTCTTTGTAGTAAAATGCTATAGCTACTGTACTTTTCTCACTGTCGCCAGAAAGATGAAAAGAGATCATGACCAAAAGAGGGTGGCATCTGCGTTTATGTAGCTAATGATTTCCGTGACCTATGGGTCACATGCTTCCTGTACTGTGAAAACAGCATCACAACGCTGAAGTGTCCAAGTCTCATGGCAAAGCCTTCAGGAAAATAAAGCCTGTTAAGTATCTTCCTTCGTCGTGGATGTTTCTATCCAACTACATGTTCTCTGCTGAAACATTTTTTTAAAAGACATGAAAAACAGGAAATGAATGAAAAGTGAGTTATGCTGGAATGCATTTCATATTGCATGGGTAGACATCATAAATCTTTCAATTTAGACAAGTATGCTGTTTATACTTTCCAGAACAAGTACAACTGTAGAAACGTTTAGCTTGATAAACATGAGTTAGGGCTAGAAAGACTCACAGCTGGACTAAGTCATCAATTTCATCAATAAAAACTTTAATAAAAATATTTTAATATTTTTCCATTAAAAAAATGCATTGCACATGCCTCACGTTACATGTTGCATGATACAGGAAACAGGAAACCAATTGTCTATGTGATAAAGAAGAGCGTAATATTGCAGTTAGAATGGTTAAAAATGGGGGAGGTGTAACATGAGGAGAAAACAAAAGATAAAAAGGTCACTGTACAAGTGTGGTAATTACATGGCTCATTTTTCTATGGCTTTGGATCAATAGTTGCTCAAATACTATCCTCCAAAGCATACTAAATCCAAATAGTTAAAAAGCCTGCAAGAGCAGTTAGCCTGCAAGGGATGTGTTCTCTCTCACCATGAGAAAGCTTCAGCTGAATAAAGAGCAACATGCTTATAACCAGAGTCTTCTTATTTTTAAAAAAAAAAAAAAAAAGCCTCAAATATTTACTTTTTTTTAAATCGTAAAGGACTCAGAACAAAATCACTAAGCATGCCTATTACCATGTCAGTGCTGGATTGTGCCGAGTTGCAATTAGTGCTAAAAGAAGGAACTCCGCTTAGATACCTTCTCTGAAGCAAGACTGTTGGACCGTTCAAAGCTGTCCATACTTCCCAGCCGGCCTCTCATTCTGTTTGCTCCCTGAGTGAAGAGAATAAAATTAAATCATTCATATGGTTTGAATTTTTACCTCTTTATGTTAGCGTTGAATTGATCCTTTTGTGGCTCACTCAAATGTGTTGGCAGTATTAACAGCCATTCTAGCATAGTAAATAGAACTCGATTTACTTACATTATTCCTAAATCAGCCATTAGATAACTAGATACTCAAACCAAGCTCTGTGAAGTTATTCTGTTACAAGGTCAGTGTTATTGGGCCATACAATTGGGATATCCCCATAAAATCAGTGAGAGCTCCATTAACTTTGAGTCTCATACGGATAAACACCAACATGGAAGGTACAGTACAATTGACCATTACAGTGATAAAGAAAATGGTTTAATACCTATATCCTCCCCACAACCTAGGTTACAAATATCATAATTCACATTACAGGATCACAATAAACACAGGTTAAGAAAAGGAAACTGCATCCTAAAACGTATGCATTTAGCTTCATTCATTATTCCATAATGCAAAACTACTTCAACAAAGCATTTCTCTCTAGAGGACTAAATAACAGTCCACTTCAATACTGGTGAATTGGTTACTTTTCTTTACACATAATCCTTTGGAATAGAATTCATAGATGACCTAAGAAGTAGGAACCTAAGAGATCATCTCACATATTTTCTTCACTTTATATAGGAAGAAAATGAAGGCAACTATTCAAAGGAAGAGGATGAAAAGGCAGGCTGTGGACCACATCATACAGAAGGTCTTAACAGACAAAATACAGACTGAGGATTCTCTGTCACTCTAAAACACATGGAAAGGTTCTAAAAAGAATAACTAGAAATATAAGTCAAGTCAGTGTGACAGTGACTCTACAAAATGAAAAATGTAAAATATGTATATAGCAGTTTTGAAGTTGGTCTCTATACATTCTCGGATTTAATTTTCTGAGGAAAATGTTTTAAATTTCATTTTAATTTTTAGTCAAAGTAATACTTGCACAAAATTTCAAAAGTCGAATTGTGCTTCCAAGCTTATAATGAAAATGATGGTCACCACCATTCTTTCATACACTGAATCCCATTCTCCAAAAGCAAACACTTAAAATTGTATTGACACTGCTGTTCAGCTTACATTACTATTCCTTAATCTTTCCATTTTAGGTATTATCTATTGACTTCTTACCTGGAAGATGAGACTCTAGTATTCTTACTTCATTACCTACCCGCAAACACACTCTCACCTGACCTACATATTTGACTATTATTACAACCATAACTTGTACAATTTGTCTTCATAGAGCTATCTGCTTCAGTGACCACTAATGTATTACGAAAGTCACCAACAGATCTCAGTATGGTCAAACATCACATAACCCATCAACTATAATTGTTTCTTTTTCTTTGAGCTACCCTTTATGAAGACTTCTGTCTTCCTGTCCCAGTCTGGACTGGTTGCAATTTAGGCTTGCTGAATAAATTATCCCAGTATTTTCCTTGACTGTTAACCTAGAAGTTTCCTTTACTGCTATCCTATGTTGGAATTTCTGTTTCCTTGACCCTATGTCTTTCTCTTTTTTAGTTACTTCCTCATTTTAGTGGAGCACACTCCAAGTGCTTTCTGAGAAAGGGGGATGGCAAGTAAATTTTTTTTACATGTCTTTAAATGTCATTATTCTGTGCTTTGTACTTCATTAATGGTGTGGCTGAATACATAATTGTGGTTAGAAACTTTCCTTCAGCATTGCTCAAGTGTCTTCTGGCACAGAGGTCAAAAGTCATTGTGATTCTTGAGCCTTTGTATGACCCGCTATTTCTATCTGGAACAGAATCTAAGTTTACCCTTGGGCATCCTGAAATTTCACAATGATGTCCTTCGGCAGGGCTTTATTCAGTCACTCTATTATTCCTATTCCTGAGCCCATTAAAGCTGGAAACCTGTCCATTAGCTCTGAGAAATTTCTAAAATGATTTCTTTGAAAGTTTCTGCATGTATGTTCTCTTTCCATTTGGCATGGGATCTTCAGACTGCTCCTTTAACTTTTTACTCTGTTCTCCTGTTTTCCATTTCTTTGTCATTTTATTTTACTTTCTGGAGGATTTTTTTCAACTTTAGCTTCCTGAATTTTTCTTCTTATGTCTACTATCAGAATGGTTTAAGAGTTTTTTTCTCATTCTCAATGACCATTTTATATTTATGGTAGCCTATCTTGTTTCATAGAAGCAATATTTACTCTTATCTATGGATATTAATTATAGTTTTATATCTCTGGTGGTCCCCTAAATAACAATTATATTAACAATAAAATTAATAGCTGCATTTAATATTACTGAATGCCTATCATGTGCCATATACTATGTTAAGTATTTTACCCTGCATTATCTCATTTAATCCTCACAAATATACTATGAGGTAGGTATAGTTTTTAGCTCAACGTTACAGATAAGGATACTGAATTTCTGATAGATTATGTTGCCAAAGTTTACACTGCTAGTTAAAGTACAGAGCAGCAATTTGAACCCAGGAAGTACAATTTAAAAGTGAAGTTCTTGAGCTCTTACTCAGTACTCCCTCCTGAAGACAGAGCTTTGTGAAAGAGGAATTACCAATAAAACTAACTAGCCTACAATGGGTAAGTATAATTTTGCCAATGTCTTAGAACTTGATCAAGGCTCTTTAAGTTCTTCAGGTCTATACTATAATATGGCATACCTCCAATAATAAACTATATTTGTGGCTAACAAATTATTGGATCAATGTGTGTGGCCAAGAGGTAAATATTGTAAGGAACATGTCACTTTCTGCTATTTTTAACTTACATGCCAACCTGCCTGGTTATCTTTAACAGGTTATTTGGTCACAATACAGAAAGCAGTCAGATGGGTATGAAACCACTGCATTATCAGAATAGCAACTTAAATCACAAATTTTACTCATGATATTTTATCCATGTGTTTGGGTGTATGTATGTGTACACAAAGAAAAACACTTTAAAATTAAACTCTACCACAATCATTAATTCACACATTTCAGCAAGGACAATGGATGTTACTTTGAGGAAAGCATGAAATAAGAACTGTTTTCCAATAATTCACACATTATATTAATAACTATTCCTTTTTTTGAAAATATATATGTTAATAAATGTATTTTTATATATGTATTTTAAATATATATATATAAATAAATGTTTTAATATATATATTCATTAATAGTTCTCTTTTGGAAAACTTCAACTTAAGAAAAAGCAACAAACAACCAGAATACAAGACTGCCTTTTCACCTTTGAACAGAAAAATTTTTCGGTTTTACCACATTATGATTTGGTAATATATGTGTCAAACCTTTTTCCCTTAGACCCACTTTTTAATTGTTAGTGAGCTGAGCTTCTAAGCTATTTAAAAATGTATCCTATTTCATAAACAATTATAGTTAGTTAAATGAAATTTTTTGACATTTAAAAATGAGAGCAATTATGAGCCAAACTTTATGATTGGGGTGTCAATTTTCTCCTATATAACCTAGAGAGAAAAAAAATAAACTGACAAGTTTTAAAAGTACACAAAATCCCTATTTTATGTAACCTTTAAAACAACATGGGTAGCTGCCAACCTTCTCAGTAAGTCCTTTCTGCTGCACATGATGCAAGCGAGATGTTATTAGGTCACATAATTTATGGCACTTGGCAACTTTTGGGACACAAAAGCTACAGTATCTACCTTGACCAAAATAGACTGGCTATGCCCTTGCTTAAACAGTCATGACAGTCATTCAAGGCTATGGAAGCGGCACTTCAAAGCCAGCTGGGCAAGTATTGTGCAGAAGCCAAGGTACTAAATGGTGATAAAGAGAGTAATACTCTAAACACTCTTTTGTCATGTGGTAAATGACAGAGGTTTCAGAGCTCTCACTGTTCGTACCACCTCATATCTATGGTGTGATACTCTCCTAACTGACATGTCATCCTCATAGTAATGTGAGGTAAGCTGGTATTACTATGCCCATTAAACAGACAAGGAAACTATGGCTTAGAAAAGGCAAATAATTTGTCCAAAATCATAAATATAAAATCTGCTAGGGCAAGCTCTTGAATTCAGCCCCCCTACTTAAGGAGAGAGAAGGAGGGAAGGAAGGAAGGAAGGAAGGAAGGAAGGAAGGAAGGAAGGAAGGAAGGAAGGAAGGAAGGAAAGAATAGAAAGAAAAGAAAGAAAGAAGGAGGAAAGAAAGAAA